TTTTGGGGATAGTTAACTTTTGGCAATTTTGCAAAAAAGTCCAACTTCAACAATGCATAACTTCTTCAATTCTGAACTTTTGGAAGTGTTATAGGACTTTTTAGAAAGCCTGAGATGTCCTCTAATCAACCCTTTTGGTCTCATCTCATTTGGATATTCCAAGCTCAAGTTATAAGCTTTGGAAAAAAAGGTGTTTTTGTTGACTATCAAAAATGACCTATAATATCCAAATTCATAACTTCTTATGAGTGCATTTTTTGCTCTTTGGGTATGAAGATGGATTGTAGGAAATTGAATATTTTTCAAAATGCGCTTTGGATGGGTCATTTCTCATAACGTATGAGAAAGTTATGCTTGGTCAAAGTTGAGTTGACTTTTCCTACAAAACCCTAATTTAGCAAGTTTTGAGTCTTGATGAATTTTGAGCAATTCTTGATGAATCATGATCAACTCTTGATAAAATGATGAAATATACTTCAAAATGAGAATGTTGACAAAAAATATTGAAGTTTGACTGTTTATAGGTCACAGTTGACTTTTGCCCTAGCACAGTCGATTTTTGGACCTTTGAGCAATTGATTGAGCAAACTTCCTCTGCAAGGCTTGAAATTTGACATGGATGATCTTGAGAATATATTAGGACATTGGGGAGAATTTGAGGTCATTTGGATTCAAAAATCTTGATGCAACACAAAACCCTAATTTGGGGTTGACTGCCTTAGGAGATAACTTGTCTGACCAACTCTTGAGCAAACTTGAGCAAATTGGAGATTTTTCTTGCAATATTTTGAGGAATATGAGAGGGAAAATTTTGGGGTACAACACCAGCCATGGCCCTTTATATTGGTTGTGGAGAGTTTTTGAAATACACAGGGATATACCTACAGTAAGTGTCTGTAGGTAAAAGTTTGCTACCTAAAACGACGGTTTGGGAGGAAGACGACGATGCATGTCATCCCCTGGTTGGGTGATTTGAATTTAGCGCGTTTTGAGTTTAAGTGTTTTGTTTTTATTATATTATAATTGATTTTGATTATATATACAAATAACAAGCGTAGCTCAGTTGGCAAGCAGGGGGTAGAAGTATGCATAAGGACCTGGGTTCGATCCCCAGGTCCCAACCTTTCTTCACATTTTTCTTCAATAGGTAATCCAGCGCATAGCAAGTCAAGAAGTTCACCATACACCATCAAGATCTGGCCATCCAATTCATCAACGCCTCAGATCAACATACCACCATTGGAGGACCACCATGTGCCTCAAGTCAACAACAACACTGGATCATGCAAAGTCAAACGGGCCTGGATTCTTTTGGGCTCAGAATTCCACAACACCCCCCATAATTGCTAATAGAGGCCCATATTTCTTTCTTTTTTGTTTTATTTTTTTTTTTAAATCTTTCAATGTTTATTTTATTTATTACTAGTTCACAAAATAATTTATTTTTTTCACAAAAAACCATAAAATCAATAATTCACAAAATTAAGATTACTTTTTTTAGTTATCAAAATCAATTTAATTTAGGTTTAACTTAGGAAAATTGTAATTTGTTTTTTATAAATAAAATCAAAAATAGAAATTAGGTTAACTTTTAATTTTATCTTGCTCTTTTTTCTCAAATAAACAAAAATACAAAAATAGGCTTTTGGACAAATTAATTTATTTTTCCTAGTTTAAAATTAATTAGACTTAGGATTTTCCTTTAATTTAGCAATTCCATTATTTTTCTCAAAACAAAACAAAAACATTTTCTTCAGTTAATCACAATTAGTTTTAGGCAAGGGTCAAAACCCTTGTTGCTCCGCATGCGATTCATCGCGCGCATATTATTATTTTTACCAATATTCCTGTAAATGCTCATGGTTTGTAATAGTTTAATCTAGGGCTTTTATTTACTGCTTTTTCCCGGGTTTTTGGCTATGTAATTAATCCCCCTTCCCGAAGCCTTGTAAAAGCGTAGATTTATTTTCTCGCATTTTAATTCTCGCAAATATTTGACTGTTTAGATGAATGCTAATAGGATTGTATGACAAGAATGCGTGACAAATTAATACGGTTAGAAAACCCTAATGTGCAAAGATAAATAACTGAAACAAATCACCTGCACATATCACTCTTAGGGTATAATCACACTTCGGTTGCCTTCGGTAAATGATCATTAAGTATAGGATGCTTTAGTGGTTTCCCTCCTATCTAACAAAGATCAAATGTCCCATTCGGATGTTGCCTCGGAAATGTTGCCTCAAATATGATCTTAAGACCCTAGGGTTATTACTAAGATGTCCTAACAGTGCTTTAGTGATCGTACGTCCCTTTCGATTTGACCCTTACAACTCCAACGACGGTGCTACCTATTTCTCAATAGTAGGATAACACTGTCTAAAGGAAACGAGAATAGAAACGATATTTTTTCGAGTAGATAGATGCTAGTAGGTACTTGCTCAAAACAAAACTCTTCACACTTACACACTCTCAAATCAATTTTCAAAAAAAATTTCATCACAGCTTTGAGGACTGATACAAGGGTTATCACGAAGTAAAACTCTTCAAAAGCAAACACACACAAGAAATTTTAAAAGATGAGCAAGTACCTAAGAGCCCATGGAAAACCATGGATAGAAAGGGTGCTAACACCTTCCCTTTCTATAATCTACCCCCCGTACTCAAAATCTCAAAAAAGGATTTTTTATGTACTTTTTTCCTTTCCGATTGGATGAAATAAAAGTCGGTGGCGACTCTTCCTTACCGCGACATTTTGCAAACACAAAACGCAAAATGCAAACCAGCATTTCAAAACAGTCAGTTCTGCCACCGTATCTCCAGAAGTATAAATACAAAGTTGTATAGAATTGAATTTCCTTCAAAATGGGCTTTGTTTGGGGAAAATTTGATGAAGCATGTGAAAGTTATGCTTGGTCAAAGTTTAGTTGACTTCTCCTAAGGACACCCTAATTTGGAAACTTTTGACTTTTGATGCTTTGAGGGCTTTCCTTGAGGAAACATGATCAACCCTTGGTCAAATGATGAATATCACTTCAAAATGTTGATGTTGACAAAAATATTGAAGTTTGACTATATGTTGACCATAATTGACTTTTTATCCAATACAGTTGATTTTCAATCATCTGAGTTATTGACTGAGCAAACTTGTGATGCAAGGCTTGAAACTTGTCACGATCACTGTTGAAGACCTATGGAGAACCATGGAAACAATTTTAGACCTTTTCAAACTAAATTTCTTTGAGAAAGTCAAGACCCTAGTTGTAGACCCTTTGCTTAGGAGGAGCATTTTGACTGGTAAACCCTTGAGTAACTTTGAGTATTTGTGACCTTTGTGAGCATGTCTTGAAGAAAATGGGAGGGAAAATTTTGGAGTACGACAGTCATCAATGTTACCCTTTGTCAATCTCATGACCCTGCATGATATGTGTTTGCGCTGTCATCAATCTCATCTTTCTTATATCTTACCCATACTTTCAATCACCATTTCATATAACAACCATATCCTTGAGAACATCGTATTGGCATCGTTATCTAATTACAAGCTATCATCATTCAACCATACTCGCTCATCATAAAAATTTCCAACAAAAAACCAAATAGTTCTTTCCCCAGCAGATATCACGAAAAAATTATAAACTCACTCACACTATCACTTTAGGATAAATTTCAGGTCTTTGTATTTAATCTTTTTCTACCTTGAACGTTCGAAAGGCTTGCGCCAATCTCACTTCATTCAAGGGATTCAATTTGTCTATTCAACTATTAGGGCAAGATGCTAGGGTTTTGACTTGTTATGCTTCATCAATTAGGGTTTTGGTTCCCTTCATTGCCTCAAGCTAATTTCATTATCAATGTGCATCCAAAGCAAGAATTAGGGTTTCTTATCCAATGTGCTTGAACTTTGTTAATGCATCATCCAAGGGTTCATCCAAGAGGCCATTAGCTAGGTTATTCATTATCTTCTTGTGTCTATCGTCCCCACATGTCTTAGGGTTTATTCCCCCAATCATATAGTCTTCAAGAGAGGTCTTTGTGGAGCTTATCATCAGTAGACGTTGTTATTTCAAATGGGTTCAACTATTGTTTAAAGTGCAAGTTATTTAAGAAATCATGGTTTATTCATGGCACATTAGGGGTTTTATTTAGTGCCGCTTCTCTAGTAATTTATTGCTTAAATCTCAAGACTTATGGCCATAACATTCATACGAGGATATTCATTCAAATTCTTTTCATAAGATATGGTTGTGGACACTTGGTACAATACATTTCATCTGACTATTTCACTTGTGATGCAAACTAACTCCTATGCTAATTAAAATTCAGTTAGGGTTTACTTCCCTACACATGTGGAGATCAGATGAGTCTCCAGGAGTGAGGCCTTATCATGCATTGTGTGGGTCATTTCTTGACTTGGTGATCATTTGTTTTGTTAACTCATTACGGTTTCTATTCTTATTACTTATGATTAGATTTTTTTATCATGGTTTTGAGTTCAAAAGAAGATTTGGGGAATTTATAGAACTATTTGAATTTCTAAGCTCAAAGAAGAACAATTGTAATTCGAGTTAGAATTAGATCTTTCATCAATTACTTGGGAGTGCCTAAAACATGATAAACTAGAGGAGAAAAAGCATGGTCGGAGTTCTTACTTCCAAGTTATTCTTATTGGTTTTAAAAACACATTGATGAATTCATCATGACCGCGAGGTCTATTCAAGGCATTACAAGATCCAACCAAAGTTGTAGTAAAAAGAGAAATAAAGAATTTAAAACTTCAAAATTGATTTAGAAGAGCACTTTGAATGTTTGAGAATTAGTTATTAGCTCAAAGGTTTCTAAATAAGGGCCATCCATTACAAAAATCCAAGTAAAATTCCACATTCCATTTTGCCATTAACATCATTTCGATCCATAAATGAAAGTCACTCAGAAAAGTACATTTCTAGGCCTATATATTCACGACTTTCATCGTCATTGCCAAGTCTCTTTAATCCACCTCAAGCTCTAAGATCCATGTTCTCTAATCCATATTCAACATCGTGTTCAAAACCATGTCCAATCCTTGAAATAACCACCAAATGGACCAGTTCTAGCTTGCTCCAAACCTGCATTAAACATGGATAAAGCATATAATCAAGGGATATCATGTTGCCGCCAATTGCATTTTTTGACAGAATTTCATTAACCAAAGCAAGATAGCTAAGTTATATATTAGTTCAAGGCATCATAAGCCTAATAGTTCACGCTATCCATACATTCACATTCAATTTTGCACATTAGTTCATAAATACAAAAAACTCAGTCATGGTGTGAATTCAAAAAAGCCTTTAGTTTTCATTAACATTCATTTCTAACACCAACTAATATGTAACTCAACCATCTTTCTAATTGAACCTAGCAGAAAAAACAGAAAAGATTGAAACCTGTATTCTAGCCCTTAAGCTGTTTATGCATAACCCATCCTGCACCATAATCGAACCAGTCCACAACAATCCAAATAAACCTGCATACTATCATTAGATCAACTCATAGAATAAAAATCCAATCCAAAATAGAACCATATAGCTTCAATTCATCAATTAAAAGATCAATAAAGCAATTCATTCAAAGCCGGTTCATGCATAATAGTAGCCCTACAAATAGTGTTCAAGCAGAATCAGATTCACTCACATTTTAACTATGCCCTACACCAATACAAAAAAAACCAGTTAGCCAACTCTGCACTTACACATTAAACCAGATCAAGAATTATGCCTTTAACCAATTGACATGAACCAGATCACAAAATTAATTCAGACAATCAGGAAAATTAGGAAAAGTGAGAAGAAACATAAATCAAAACCAATTATCCAGAAAACAAAAATAGAATCCCTAACCGATTTTCAAGTCCATAACTAACTCTCTAACTGTCAATGCCAACCCATACTAACTGTCCATAACCTCTAACATAATCCTGACTGAATCCCTAAAAAACTAAACTCTCCCACTCTCACAATCATTACTCACCAATTCTCCACAGAAAATCGGGTTCACTCTCTCAATTCGTCATTCTCTGTAACATCCAACCTTTCACTCCATTCTCCTCTGAACATCCATTCATCACCTTCATCTTCTACATTCTCCACTTCCACCATTTTTTCACACGATCACTCTTCACAAACCAGAATCTTAACTCTCTTTCTCTCACTTCCTTCATAACCGCACCACAATTCCTCCTTCTCCATAATCGTTCTTCACCATCTTCAACCTCTCAACCATCGATTCCTTAACATCACCAACCTTCACCGTTCTGCGTTACTCTTCATCATCTCCGCTTAATCAAACACAAGTAACAAGAATCACATCTCCATTATCTTCACATTCTATGCATCACACATTTCTATGGTGTATCAAAATCAACACACACGACATCCACAACGACAACACAATCACGATAACACAAGAAGAAGTTAGAAGAAGAAGAGATCGTAGAAACCAGAAAAGGTAGGAAGAAGTAGAAGCATAATAAGAACAGACACGAATTTAAGAGAACGAACCTGTGTTTCTAAATATTTTTTTTCTGGATTTCTTGCATCGTCGGCATCACTGTGGAAGAGGCACCAGGCGTATCTCTGATAGCATTGGGCTTCATTTTCCTTGGTCCATGAAATTCAGGAAGACACCACCCCTTGATCCACTTTGGTAGAGTTATATCATTGCTTGCGTGGCTTTAAACAGGCAATGGACCTTCATCGTTAGGTACTACTTAAGTTTATCTCTCTTTCATACATCTACATCTGGAGTCCTACAACGTAGGGATTGGTTTTTTATTGTTGATTGATGAGTCACTCAATTAGAATTGAGACCATGAATTCGATCTCAGTGCATGCTCCCTATAAGAATTTATTGCTTTCCTTTATTTATTTTCGATCAATGAGTCACTCAATTAAAATTGAGATCACGAATTCGCTCTTAGTGCATGCTCCCTATAGGACTTTATTGCTTTCTTTATTGTCGATCGATGAGTCACTCAATTATAATTAATATCACAACTTCGCTCTCAGTGCATGTTCCCTATAAGATTGTTATCCTCACCCTTAGGTCTATCTTTGTATGCTAACACTAGCTAGATTCCCTCTTTGTTAATCCAAACTTTAGGTCCATGATGCATGAAAACATTATGATTTGTTTCCCTTAGTCATTTTCTATTTCTTTTGCATTCCATCAAGAGTAAAATTTTCTTTTTCTTAAATCAAAATTCAAAACAATTAATCGTACTTAAACACTTTCTAAATAACAAAATACTCAATCAATTCAAACTCCCTTTTGCCTTCTGGCTTTTCTTTTGAAAACCTTTTCAGGTAAGAACATGTTAATTCCTTTCTACAACAATTGCATGAATCTCTAAAGGTTGAGAAACGGTAGAATACGAAATTAGCATCATTCATTAAAAAACAAACAACAAACCAAAAAATTTAAGCCAAACTACGGTGCTCTGATTCCTTAAAAGGGATACGTAGACATTAGGTTGCAGGGTCTAAGCGAGCATAATTATTTAAAATCTTAGTTTTCCCTTCATTTTTCTTAAGCAATTTGTGGTACGGTGGGATAACTGACTTGGGTGTTTTGCGTTTGATTGCAAATGTTGCGGTTAGCAAGAGTGTCCACCGACTTTTCTTTTATCCAAAAGGAAAGGTGAAAAAGCACAGGAAAGACCTTTGAGATTGTTTCTTGAGTTTGGGGGGTAGATTATGAAAAGGGATGGTATTAACACCCTTTTCATCCATGGTTTTACATGGGCTCTTAGTGACTTGCTAGATCACTTGCTTTATGTTTGAAATTGTGCTTTGTGTGGTTTTTTGAAAGTATTTTGTAAAGAGCCATTATTTAGGCAAACTTTGTAATGATTCTCGTTCGTAAGAATGTATACAAAGTGTTGATCTTTTGAAAATATTTTCAAGTTTGATAGATGTTTTTGAAAGTGTTAGTGTTTTTTTTTTTAAATAGCAAGGATGTTTGTTTTGAGATGGAGCCAGTAATTAGGAGCAATCTACCTACTCAAATGTCTTTCTTGTTCATTTTCTTTTCCTTTGACATTGTTGTCTTACCATTGATTTGGTAAGAAACCCTATCTTTGGATGTAAGCGGGACGGGCGTGGGTCATTGTATAGCCATGATTAGTAATGTTGCAAGGTGTCTTAGCATTCTTTTTTGAGGGACTAAGATCATTTGTAAGGCAACTTAGATAGCATCATCGAGGGACTATGATCTTGTATTTGCTTGTTTTTGCTAAGATACCTGACATGCGTAATATGGCCATTTTGTATAAGGCAACCAAGTAGAGTTTACCCTAGGGGTGCTTGGGTGCAAGTGTATTGATTTACATGCGATGTTTTTGTCTTTGATTAGGGTTTTCTATTGATTGGTTTTAGTCTTTCCATACACACCCTAGTTACTAACATTTGTATTTGAAAGCGTTAAATTGCGGAAAATAAAGTCCTACGCTATTACATCGTTTAGGGGATGAGGGTACAATTTACAAATGGGGGTGAAGTAGGAATTTAAATATTACAACCATATCAAATAACCATGAAGGAAACGTAAAAACAGTGTAAAAAGAAGGAAAAAATGTATTTGAACTATTATGTGTCGACACAAGCTCACATGTATCGACACATAACTTTCCTTGCCCCTGTATTTCCAAATCAACTCAGTATGAGTCGATACATAATGGTATGTGTCGACTCATACACTGCATGTGTCGACTCATACGTGCTTTGTGTCGACTCATACGTTGTTTTTCCTTCTGTTTTGGGCCTGTAAAGAAGTATGTATCGACTCATAAGGCTATCTGTCGACTCATACTGTCATTTTTCTACTTCAACATTGTCTTGTTACATACATGGGTTAGTTTTCAACACATAATGAAAAGACTGGAATATAATCAAAAGGTTAGCTTCAAGGACAATGGTTACTACATTTTTGTCTTAAAAAATGAATGACTAAAGTCAAGAAACTTAGCTTAGAGTTGGATCTTTATACTCTGAATTTGAGTTGTTGCCTTGACTGTTATTGAAATTGGAAGAGCGAAAAGAGGTGTTTTAGAAGCTTGCTCTTGAGTTTGAGAAATTTCTAGGTGATGTATATGAGGTTCTTAGATGTTTAGACAGAGCTTGCCAGGTGTGAGAGTTCCAAATATTTGGACTTTAAAACTCAAGAGTGGAAGCTTTTTTGGACAGTTATGGTTTTTGATGGCTAGTTTACAACAAGACTTCTGGATTTTCTCTCTATTTTTATAACCTTTTCCCAACCTTTTTCTCTTGCAAATGCTTCTTCTATTTATAGGCAAGGGATTTATGCATATGATCTTATTTGGTTTATAAGACATCATGTTATGGTTTGGTTGGATTACAAAGATCAAACTAAGTCAAGTACTCCATAGTCCCAAGATGAAGTACCAAAGTTGCTGGTATTGAGGGGCTACTTCCCATGATTTATGGTGAAGTATAATCAGCAACCAGCAATGTATGGGCTCAAGACAAACTTTGTACAAAAAGCTTGCTTTTCAAGAATAACAATGGTGCCTTTATACCATAAACGGAAAGATCTTTTGGACAATGGTTTAAACACTTGGGTAATAGCTCAAGAATGGGTGTAAGCATTAAATTATGATGAGATTTGAAAGCAAAGAAGCCTGCAACATAAGATTATGCAGCAAATCATGAGAGTTTTGTTATGTGTTCTTCACTTAGAATGACTTGCAATTCAAAGATGGATGGCCAACTTCAAGCCCTTAAATCTCCTAGCTTAAGTATGATAAATTTATGCTCTTGGATGTTTTGGAAAGCTTGAAACATCCTCTATAACTTTCATGTTGGCAATTTTGGCAAAATCATCTTGGAACTATGTGAAAAAATGCCAAGAAGTTGGGGTAAAATCCTGACCAAAATCTGTTGAAAATTTCTCTAAGTGTTAAATGAAAATGTCATGACTTCATAAATTTGTAACTTGAGATCCCATCATATTTAGGAGAAGTTGTGTAAAGCAATGTTGTAGATATAATGGAAATCTACAACTTTCATGTTGAAAGTTTCTTTTGAATCAACTTGCCTCATGATGAAAGAATGGCATGGAGTGATGAAATTATCATGTATAAAAACACTTAGAAAATTTCTAAGTCTTGGAAATCTTGACTTTTTAAGTTAACTTTTGAATTTCTTGACTTTCTTGATGATCAAGCTTGATATTCTTGCATGTCTTGATGAAATTTGATCTTTAGAATGTAATGTTGACCAAAAAGTTAAAGTTTGACTTTCTAATATGCAATTGACCATTTTTCCCTTGTGCCAATTCCAAGCATAGATTGATGTATGAGTGCTGCAAACTTGACGTCATAGAAGATCTTGTGAGAGAATCCTTGAGAAATGAGAGGGCAAATTTTGGGGTACAACAGCTGCCCCTGTTCAATCTTCTTAAACCTGAAGAGTTAGATTGGTGAGTCCGTCATTCGTGACTTGAAGGTGAAATATGATTGAACACTAGAGTGCCCAGAAATTTGCACTCGAAGATGGATGGTGAATGGGATTATAGATGCCATTTGGAGGAATGTTGATAAACATTAGAAGAAATATCAGCATAAATCTCTTGTTGATTTATACTAAAACTTGATGTTTTACCTGTGAGAAAAAGATTTAGTAAAATGCAGATGCATGCATGATGTTCATCAGATGTGGTATTATGCTAAATGCATAGGGTATGTACATGCTATGATGCATGAATGTGAGATATATGTTTCTGTCTGGGAAAATAAATCCCTGACTGCTGCTATGGAAATTCCGGGAGGTTGAATCCCTGATTACCGTTGGGGATGAAGAAGATGCATATGTTCAAACTTTGTTGAAAGGATACTTTCACTGGGGAATATCTCTTGAATGTCAATTGTTATCTGGTTGGATCCAGGTTTCACAATTTGTTGAGGATGAAGTAGTCAGCTGCTATCTGGTCGGATCCCGGTTTCACAATTTGCTGAGGATGAAGTAGTCAACTGCTATCTGGTTGGATCTAGGCTTCATGGTAATTTACTGGGGGAAGAGACGAATTAACTATTATCTGGCCGGATTCCAGGATTTGCAAAAAATTTCTTGAAATTGAATAGTTATCTGGTCGGATCCAGGCTTCACAATAACTTGCTAGGGATACAGAGGTTAACTGTTATCTGGTCGGATCCAGGCTTCACAGTAACTTGAAGCGGTAACTATTATCTGGTCGAGTCCAGGCTTCATAGTGTCTCTCCGGGGATCATAGTTAATTATTATCTTGTCGGGCTCCAGGTTTCATAAATAAACTGTTTGAAAAAATTGCCATCTGGTCGGGTCCAAGCTTTGCGGATTTCTGAGGTTGACGAGGTCAATTGCTATCTGGTCGGGTCCAGGTTTCACAATAAACTGTTTGAGGATTTAGTTTTTATCTGGTCAGTTTCTAGGTTTCACAACAAATCTCTGAGGGTGATTTCTATCTGGTCGGATCTAGGCTTCACAACAACTTGTTGGGGTAAAGGCAAACTCTACTGGGGAGAAGAAGTTAAACCTTGGTCCGGTTGAGTCCAAGTTCTTCTATATCTTTGAAGAGTTAGACTATTATCTGGTCGGGTCCAGGTTTTATAGTATCTTAAAATTGAGATCAATTGTTATCTTGTCGGGTCCAGGTTTCACGGTAACTTTTTGAAAATAGTAAAGGTTTTGCTGACGAGTTTACTGGGGATCAGGGGTTGTGGCCCTATGATTTGCCATAATCTGAAAGGAAAATTTAAACTGGAGAGTGTAGACTCAGTCGGGTAGGATAAACTCATCTTGGGGAGGATACACTCAGCTGGGGATAACAGGCTCACTGGGGATAACAGGCTCAGCTGGGGAAGATAGGCTATGCCGGGGGAATACAAACTTGGTTGGGGAGGATGTACTCGTCTGGAGAATTTGGGTTCCTCGATTGTTATTGGGGAAATTTGAACTCGGCTGGGGAGTTGTTGTGGTTCCTCGATTATTATTTGGGAAGTAAAACCTGTTGGGGAAAGGTTTATTGCAGCCGTCCTCATGGGGATAATGATAATGAGATAACTCTGTGGGGATATTTCATATACATTAAAGAGATGCTTACTGCTGCTTAGCAGGACACATGTGACAAATAGTTTTTAATTATGTTCATATGCATATGTTCATTCAATTTTAGTCATTGGACAAATTTGCATTCAAAACAAAGACATAAATTTTGCACTTCAAAGTGTATTTGTATTGATATTTTGCCCATGAATATGCGTTTTTGTACAGAGAGACGGAGATCCTAGTAAGAGAAAATCGTCGAAAGGAAAAAAAAATTTAGAATGAAAACAAATAGCCATGTGAAATGATCTAATTTTCTTTCAACTCTACTATTTCCCCAATGTCTTCGAACATCCTTTGCCATTGATCGAAGTTGATTGGATTGATCTTGGACTGTTCGAACTTGGACCTTGATGATAAAATTGAATGTATTGATTCCAAGGGACATAGTCATACGCTTTTAATCCTTAATTTTTGCCTGGACTGCCCTTTCGGGTTTTCAGCCCACCAGGATACCCTTTTTGCCCAAGTCGCCCTTTCGGGTTTTCAACTTGCCGGGTGTACAATATTTTCGAAATATCCCAAATTTTTTCCCAAACCTTTTGGCTTGCCGGGATGCCCTTATTTTTCTTAGGTGTGTCAACCTAACGGGTCTCTTATGCGTAGTATTTTTTAACTATGTCTGCATTTATGGGATGTGGGAAATCCTCGCCATCCATGGTAGTCAACATCATGGCACCGCCAGAGAAAACTCTCTTGACAACAAATGGTCCTTCATAGGTGGGATTCCATTTGCCTCTGGGGTCGCCTTGTGGTAAAATGATGCGTTTTATCACCAAGTCACCAACTTGATATACTCGAGGCTTGACCTTTTTGTTGAAAGTCTTGATCATCCGTTTTTGATACATCTGACCATGGCAAACAACAGCTAATCATTTTTTGTCAATCAAGTTCAGCTAATCCAATCTCGTTTGAATCCACTCGTCTTTGCCTAGGCCCGCCTCATTCATAATCTTTAGCGAGGGGTTCTGAACTTCTATTGGAAAAATAGCTTCCATGCCATAAACTAAGGAAAGGGGAGTTGCCTCAATTGAGGTTCTAGCTGAAGTACAATAGCCATGTAGAGAAAACGGAAACATCTCATTCAAATCCTTATAGGTTACTACCATCTTCTGCATAATCTTCTTAATGTTTTTGTTGGTCGCTTCGACTGCGCCATTCATTTTTGGTCTATATGGAGAAGAATTGTGATGCTTGATCTTAAACTGAGTGCAAAGCTCAGTAATCATAGCATTATTGAGGTTAGTACCATTGTCGGTGATGATCCTTTCGGGGATACCATAACAACAGATGAGGTTATGTCTGATGAATCTGGCTACCACATTCTTGGTGACTGAGGCAAACGAGGCGGCTTTGACCCATTTGGTAAAATAGCCGATAGCAACAAGAATGAAGCGATGCCTTTTGGAAGCTGTGGGCTTGATCTCTCCAATCATATCAATGCCCCACATTGCAAATGGCCACGAAGCAGTCATGACATTCAGAGGGATAGGAGGCACATGGACCTTGTCAACATAGATTTGGTATTTGTGACAGGTTCTTGAATGTTGATGGCAATCAGTCTCCATCGTTGACCAATAGTAACCTGCTCTTAAGATTTTCTTAGCCATCGTATGCCCACTTGAGTGAGTACCGAAGAGACCATTGTGCATGTCTTCCATAATTTCCTCTGCCCCCTTCTTGTCCATGCATCAGAGTAGATCGAATCATGGTTGTGTTTGTACAATATCCCGTTACTTAGGAAGAATTTAGCTGCAAATCTTCGCAAGAACTTTCTGTCATTGATAGATGCCCCCTCTAGATACTCTTGTCCTTCAAGGTATCTCATCACCTCATGGTACCATGGATTTTCCGCATCGGTGTCAAGCTCATAACAATGTGAAGGTTCATTGAATCTTTCAATTGTTATCATAGGGGCTTCGTTGTCCCATCTGACTTTGAACATTGAAGACATGGTTGCCAAAGCGTCAGCCAACTGGTTTTCTTCCCTAGGGAAGTGCTTGAACATGATCTCTTCGAAGTAAGGAATTAGGGATAGCACAAGTTCCTTGTAAGGGATAAGATTAGGGTGTTTAGTGTCCCAATCTCCTTTTACTTGGCTGATCATCAAGGCAGAATCTCCAAACATATCCAAATGTTTGATCCTTAAGTCAATAGCAGCTTTCAGACCTAAGATGCATGCTTCATACTCAACCATATTGTTTGTGAAATCTAAGCATAGTCTGTTAGTGAAAGGAATGTGGCAACCTTCAGGAGAGATGATCACAACACTAATTCCGTTACCTAAGGCGTTAGAAGCCCCATCGAATACCATAGTACATCGGGATCCTTGTTCA